CCGCTCCCCGCCGCCCGCGGCGCTCCGCCGCCCGCCGCCCCCAACGCCCCACCGGCACCAACCGCCGCCGCCGCCGCCGGGACCGCGTCGGACCCCGCGCAGCGCCCACGGGGTTGAGCCGCCGCCGCACGGCCCTGGCCCGGCCCTGGCAGCGGGAAGCGGCAGCGGCAACTACAGCTCCCGGCGGCCGCCGCGCAGCGCCGTGCGGGGCGGGATGGGACGGGCTGGGCTGAGCGCTCCGCCCCGAGACGAGCCGTGTTGTGCTGTGCTGAGCCGAGCCGTGCCGTGTCGAGGCAGCCCTCCCCTGCCGTGCTCAGCCGTGCCAAGCTGTGCCAAACCAAGCTGTGCCGTGCCGTGCTGCACTGTGCCGTGCTGAGCTGTGCTGTGTCCCCGGAGAGCAAGGCAGCCCAAATTGGGCACAGTGTGCAGAGTTGGGAACAGGGATATGGTGTGTGGTTGGGGATATGGGCTCAGAGTGGGGCACGGCAGCCTGGGAGCTCTGGACTTGGAACTGGGCAAAGGGACACGGAGGGGAATGCAGCTATGAGGACGCAGGAACTCAGCCGTGGGGTTCAAAGACAGGAATGGGGCTGCTGTGGGGCAGGGAGCAGGCAGCATGCAGCTTGGGGTGGGGTACCCTGGGACAGGGCTATGTTTGTAGGGACATGGGGGTTCATGGGGCTGCACGGAGCAGGGAGCGGGGCCAGGGCTGCCCCAGGTGACTCCAACTTGTGGGGCTGCTTTCTGTGGGTCTGAGGGCTGAGTGCCCCCACACTGGGCAGAATCCCCTCACACATTCCTGGCGGGGATGAGTGGGACCAGGACATGGGGATCAGGAGCATCCTGTCTGGGATGAGAGGGACACAGCAGGGGCACCGATCCAGAGCGTTGTGCCCTGGAAACGGCACTCAGCTTCCCAGGGGCTGCTGGGGGGGGGTCCTGCTGGCAAGCAGCTGGGACCAATCAGCAGTCCCACAGCTGGCCCAAGTCAGATGGAACCACTCCATAAAAAGCCACTCTTCGGTGTGGCCTTGGAGTTTGGAGAGGTCTGGGGACAGAGGGTGGAGTGCTGTGGGTCTGGCTGGCCCCAGGTGAGGAGCTGGGAGTGGGGATATTGGGCACTGTACCCCCTGAGCTCCAGTCCTGACATGGTCCCACTGGGCAGGGGGCATCCCATGGACAAAGCTATAAGGACTAGGACCACATCCCCATTCCTGCCATGCCCACCCCGGTGTGTGCCCTGAGCTGGGGACCCCAGGAAGGGTCCCTGAATGACACGAAGGAGTGGGGCTGGAGCTGACAGTGGGGCTGTTGCTGAGCGCTGCGAGTTCTCCATTAATACTGCCACCAAATCTCCTTCTCTGCAGGCTGGGAAGTGGCGTGCAATGGTGAGGATGGTGCGGCGGCAGTGGCGTGGGCCCCCCATGGGTACAGGCATCGTGGCCGTGCTGCTGCTCTGCGTGGTGACTGAGGCTGCCAGAGGGTGAGTGCTGCGTCCCCGCGGGTCCCCACACCAGGATGGGCGCACTGAGGTGACGCCGGTTGGGTGGTGGGTGCCACTGCAGGAGGTGGTGTGAGCAGACAGAGCAGGTGACAGAGGAGGAGGTGGTGACACCCTGGCGTGAGGACGTGGTGCCGTGCCCCAGCATGTACCAGTACAGCCTGGCAGGTTGGCGCATTGACCTCAACCGCATGCGCCACGTCTATGGGGGGGAGCACGGCGTGCCCCCAACCAGCACCCATCCTGGGGCTGCCATGTGCTACATCTACAGGTGAGTGCAGGGGGTGACATTGGTGGGTGAGGGGCACGTCTGTCCCTGTGCCCTCTGCCTGATGCCGAGGCCGTGCCCACTCTGCAGACCCCCGGAGACGCAGCTGGTGGTGAGGAACCGCACGGTGCGTGCCTGCTGTGCCGGCTGGAGCGGGCCCCACTGCACAGAAGGTAGGGGCTGGGGGGTGCGATGACACTGTGGTGATGCAGTGTGGGGCTGGGGAGCACCACAGTGTTGAGCTGCATCCCTGTGCGGCAGCGGAGGGCTCGCTGGGACAGTGCCACGCCAGCTGGCAGTGCCAGGACGCGCTGGGTGCCCACAACCTCTCCGCCATGAGCATGGCAGAGTGCTGCCGCCGGCCCTGGGGGCACAGCTGGAGGAACGGCTCCTCTGCTCTGTGCTTCACCTGCAGCCGCCAGCCCCTCACCGGTGAGTGCAGGGCACGGGGGGTGCAGGGTGTCATTGGGTGCCCACTGAGCAGCACTCACCCCCTGCTGCAGGTGACGTACCCCTGCCCGCAGCGCCGCAGGGTCCTGCTGCCCGGCACCGTGGACCCACTGCCAGCTGCACCACGTGGGCCGGATCCCAGTACCGCAGCTTCGACGGGCGGCACTTTGGCTTCCAGGGTGAATGTGCCTACAGCCTGGCCGCCTCCACCGACAGCACCTGGGCTGTCAGCATCACCACAGGCAGCGCGCCGGTACCCACCACCCCCAGGGGGATGAGGAGGTGTCAGGGGGGCTGGGTTACCCCGTGGATCATTGCTCTGGGGTAGGGGCTGTCCCCACTGCTGTCCCCCCACCCGGTCCCTGCTCACGGCCGCTGTCCCACAGGTGCTGCACATGATGTTTGGGCTGGACACGGTGGTGGCACGGGGGCTCAACGTCTCTGTGAATGGCGTGGCAGTGCCGGAGGGACAGCCGCACCTGCACAGCGGTGAGGGCTGAGGGGCAGCTGTGTGTTCCCATCCCCATGTGACACCGCCGCTGGGGACCCAGTGGTTTGGGGTGGCACAAGCAGACAGTGCCAACCTCAGCCCTCACCATTCCCCTCGTTATCTCTGCGCCCTGCTGAGTGCCCTGGTTGCGTCCCTGCAGGGATCAGTGTCTCCTGGCTCGGGGACTTTGTGGCTGTGGACAGCGGGCTGGGTGTGCGCCTCAGGTTGGACGGGCGCGGGACGGTCTATGTGACGGTCAGCGCGGAGCTGCGGGGCAGCACACAGGGGCTCTGTGGCCCCTACAATGACGACCCGACTGGTAACACCCCCATGTGTCACAGCACCACTGTTGGGTGATGGGGAACACAGGGTGGCTGTGCTGAGGGCACGTGCCGTGTCCCCGACCCCACTTTGCCCACAGATGACTTCCTGCGGGTTGAAGGGGACGTTGCCCCGTTGGCTGCCAGCTTTGGGAACTCCTGGAGGATCCTGGATGCCGACCCTGAGGTATGGGGCCGGGCAGAGCACAGACAGGGCTGAGATGGGGACCATCCCAGCACTCTGTGGGGCTCCCTTGGGGCTGCGTCCCCACCCCACTCCCAGCACAGCCCTACAGCAGTGGGATGTCTCTGATCTGATCCCACCCTGGCGCAGCTCTCCTGCAGTGATGCGGTGGAGCCCCGTCCCAGCTGTGCCATGGGCAGCGCAGCACAGCGGGCGGCCGAGGCCACGTGTGGAATGCTGCTCACCGACCCCTTCCACCAGTGCCACGAAGCGGTGAGTCCTACAGCTCCGTGGCGTCGAGGGCGCCTGGACCCCCATGCCCTGACGGTCCTTCCCACACCAGGTCGACCCCCGTGGCTTTTACGAGGCCTGCCTGGAGCTGCACTGCAGGGAGGGGGGAACGGGGCCCTCGCCACCCGCTGCTGTCTGTGACACGTTGGCCGCCTACGTGCGGGACTGCGCCCAGCGGAGAGCCTACATCGAGTGGCGCCGGCCGGGCCTCTGCGGTACGGGCTGTGGGGCTGGGCTGCATCCCACCCTGCTGGGACCCCATCCCCAATAGCTCATGTGTGGGACCCCCGGTGGGTTGTATGTGCGCCCCTAGGGGTGTGTGTGCATTCCAGCAGCTCTTGAGGGTACCCCAAGGGCTCCTGTGGCTGCCCCAATGGCTTTTGCATACACCCTAATCACTTCTGCATGCACCCGTTGGCTCACGTGTGCACCCCAATGGCTCACCGAAGCACTTGCATGCGCTCCAGTGGATTGTGGTGGGACATGGGGGGATGTGGTGGGATGGGGGTGGTGGGATGCAGTTGACTGGAAATGGTGGGATGGATTTGGGTCATGGGGAGGTGGATGTGGTGGGATGTGATGGCACAGATTTGGGATATGGTGGGATGGAATGCTGTTGAGTGGCTGTGGCTGAATACCATGGGATGGATGTGGTGGGATAGAGGGGGAGAGATTCTGGATGTTTAGGATGGGCCCAGTGGGACGTGGTGGGATGGATTTGGGATACGGGGGGATGTGGTGGGATGAATGCAATGAGTCATGGTGGGATATGGTCAGAAAGATCTGGGACATGGTAAGATGGAGATGTAAGTGGGATGTGATAGGATGGACTTGGGACACGGTAAGGTAGAAGTGGCGTGATGAGGTGGAACGTATGGGGATGTGGCGGGATGGACGCAGCGCATCATGGTGCGATGTGGTGGGCCAGCTGCAGTGGACATGTTGGCATTCTGTGTGCCACTCTGGCACAGCAGAGCTGAGCCCTGGCACCCTGCAGAGCGGCAGTGCGGCCAGGGGCAGCGCTACTCGGACTGCGTGTCCTCCTGCCCCGCCAGCTGTGTGGCTGCAGGCACTGCCGAGGAGGGGCACTGCCGGGACGACTGCGCCAGCGGCTGTGAGTGCACCCCGGGGCTCCTCCTGGATGGGGGGGCCTGCATCCCACAGAGCGCCTGCCCCTGCCTGCACCGCGGCCGCACGTATGCCCCAGGGCAGAGCATCCGCCAGCGCTGCAACCAATGGT